ATTTTATAGATTAGATTAAGGGTCAGGTGCGGTAGCCTAGTGGCTGGAGTACTCACCTTGCAAGTGCCAGGATCCTCTGTGAGTGCTGGTTCTAATCCTGGTGGTCCTGTTTCCCATCTACCTCCCTGCTTAGTGGCCTGGAAAAGCAGTTGAGGATGGCCCAAAGCCTTATGACCCTGCACCTGCGTGGGAGAACCGGAAGAGATTCCAGGTTCCTGGCTTCAGATTTGTTCAGGTCCGGAAGTTGCGATCACTTGGGGAGTGAATCAATGGACGGAAGATCTTTCTCTCTGTCTCTCCTCCTCTCTGTATATCTGACTTTCCAATAAAAATAAATAAATCTATTAAAATGTTAGGTCAAATTAAATTATTAACATGTAAAAAGCACTGGGAATAATTATGAATAAATTGCGACGTAATATTTCAACCTTTATTTCTATCTTTCAATGGAATATTTAAAATATATTTCTTTTTATAAAATACATTTCTTCATAGAAGAATATATAATTTATGCAGCCTAACGTGATACTTTTAAGTCAATGACCTATCTTTTTAACATATCTTGAAGTCCTAACTGAAGGCAACTTTAAAATGGATATGTCGCCATAGTTATAACCTCTTAAAGTTAATCTTCCCCAAGGAATAGAATATTATCTTAGTGAAGAACTTTGCCTTTGAGTAAAAGCTTTAAATTTCTGGTCCTGATCCTAATGCTGTTCAGAGTGAATAAATTGTTTTCCAGGGTTAACTCAGGCGATTCACATTAGCTTCTTAAATGTCATAGGTTATTTCTTAACATTAAGAAAGAGATAATTTATTAAAGTGATGCCAGAGAAGTGTTCTTTCTGCTTTATTCAATGAATACACTTTCTTTCTTTCCCGTCTCCTTTTTACATTTTGGTTCTCTAGAGAATGGTTAGCACTATTGTGTGATTAAGAGCACAAAACGACCTTCTTGCTTTATGGAAATAGAACATCTTACCTTCGGAATGAACGCATAACCTATTCTGAAATACCAAGACTCTGTGAATATGTTTCTACTCCTGAAAGTTTTGATAAGAATTACCACCGCTTCCTAACACAGAACTGCCTATTGGACTAGTTTATTGGGTACGAGTGAAACTGACTTTTACCCGTATTTCAACGTAAACCACTGTGAGCACCTCTATGCTATAATTGACGTAGTCATTAGATTACAGCTAGTGTTTTCATCAACTGTTATGTAAGAAAGTTATCTATATACAGAATAACCCAATGTTCATGCTGCAGCCTCTGCCCTTTCCATATAGTAGTCCATTGTCGCCTACACTCAAAGATGACAGTTCTTCATGCTTGTCTGTCTGTCTTGATTGTCTCCAAGAGCGTTTTAGCCACAGTATTTTGCCTGCACTCCTATGATTAGTAATCACTCATTTTACACGATCATTCCTTTGTATTGCTTGCTTTGCAAAACATTGTGTGAAATACATGCTCCTCCTAAGCCTGAAGACCCACTTACTACACAGTGTATACACAGTGGATAACACATGTGGCACTACGTATTTGGAAATGGATAATGTACAGGAGACAGGATCCATTAATGGATAATTTGCTGCTTTATGAAAGGGTATCTGTATAATACGAAACCCATTAAGCAATTGGTGATTGCTACTACAATGGTTTCTCATTAGTGTTACATGGCATCTAACCATTTCAACTAGTCCAGTAAGTGATTAAGGAATTAATAAGGTAATCATTTATATTATTGAATCACACAATGTGAATATTATCAACAAACATTTTCATAATTATTTTGGCATAGCATTTGCTAATGTTATACAACAAAACACATATAATAGAGGTGCAATTCATTCATCTCATTGTAATTTATATTCAGTTTAGTTATAACTTCTGAAGCATATTTTTAGTGATTTATTATGTGTATTAGAATATATTCAGATGAATCATAACTTCTGAAAAATTTATAATTAAGGATTTACTATTTGTGAAAAATGTTGTGAATGTTGGACCAGGCTCAAGCCTTTGAATCTAAAGACATACAACACTATTGCATTTTTATTTTATCTGAATTTCTTACACATGGTATATAGTGTATGCATATTTTAGTATGCCATAGGCTGACAACCTTACTATTTCTTTCCTGTACTTTTATTCCTCATCTACTTATGCTATGGTTTAAATGTGGTCTGCACTTTTCAACAGGCCATGCGTTAGAGCCTTCAGCCTCACTGTCGATATGAAGAGATGATGGGACCTTTAAGGGGGTGGAGTCTTAGGGGAGGAAAATAGAAAAGATTAATGCTGCTCTTGCAGCATGGATTAATTGCAGTGTTTTCCAGTGGATTACCTCGTAGGTTACCTCATTCGCTTGACCCCTTGGGCAGTTAGCCGTTTTTATCTCTGCTTCTCTCTTGTGATGTCACCGAAGCAAGCGAGACTTCATTAGAGACTGAAGTCATGGGTCTGCCCAATACTGGGTTTACTCCTGCCAACATTATAGGCTAGTTGAGCATTCTTCTCTTTCATTAAGTACCCAGCATTGCATATTTTATTACAAAAGCTGAAAATGACCAGCTTATAAACATATTTTATGGACTTTTAATCCAAAATTACGTGATATAAAACTAGTTCCGCTAAAAAAAAATTTTCCTCCTATGTCTAGAAGTTGAGTCAATTACTACCATTTCGTATCTTTCTGAAGTTAGTTTCTAGAAGGCATTAGCAATTTAAAAATATGTTAATGGTTACAATTTTATAATATAGAATTATAATGTTCATACAGCATAAAACAATGTATTCTTTGTAGATGATTAATTAACTGAAAGTCAGACTGATTAAAAATAAAAAGAAAGAAAGTAACAGCCAGAGTTACAGAGAGAGGGAGAGAGACAGATCTTCTATCTGCTGGTTCACTCTTCAAGCGCCTGCAAAGGTTAGAACTGGGCTGGTTGGCAGCTGGAAGACAGCAGCCTCCTTAGGGCCTGCCAGATACAGGTGCAGGGTTCCAACGCCTTGGTCCATCCTCTGCTGTTTCCCCAGGCCATAAGCATAGAACTGGATAAGAAATAGAGCAGCTGGGACTAGAACTAGCTCCCATATGGATGCCAAAAGTGCCTGCCCCAAGAAAATGTGATTTTGATCTCATCTCATCTTTTGCAAGGTTCATGGTAAGTGGTCTAGGAAGAGGCTTAAAAATATCAGTTAAATGAACATGTCACTCTGCATCATTATTCCAGTGATGGATTGAGGAATACATAAAATAGGTTATTCTGTTAATATTTTGTAGCTGATTATCTACTTTATAAATGATAAATATTTTCTTCTAGGTATTAACATGATTGTCAAGAAGTGTATAAAAACATATTACTACCCTTTTTATGAATTCATTCAGGTGTCTCATTCCATTTCATTCTAAATCTTTATATCAGTAAGAACAGAAGAAATTATTTTAGAATGATTTTCTGTATTGAATCTTGCTGTGTGATTTTCATTTTGTCCCTGTTACTATGTATTTTGTATTTTGAAGTAGGTACTATAATTATTCCTGATGTACCATCACTTTTGTTTCACTTGTCCTTATTTTAAAAAAATTCTATCCTCCTATTGTATTGTCTCTTTCAATATTCTACCTTGTCAACCATCTTCTACGTATTCAAAGACTTTAAAATAAACCTTTAACATGTGCATGTTTGATGACAAGAAAACTGAAATACTGTGTGAACAGGGCTACATTTTGTTTCAACATTTTTGAGTTGGAAATGAGGAAGAGGTGAGTAGTTGAAGTTATGTGACCAAAAAGATTCCTCCTGGAGGGTTGCTGCTCAGATCATCCCACAGGAGAGGCAATTCTGCAAACACACGTTGTGAGGTCATAAAGGACTGCGCTTCCTCCCAGCGACAGGTGCAGTGCTGGAGCCCACGAGCAATTCAGTTGAGTTCTGATGTTTTAAGTTTTAAGTTGCAGCAGAGTGTCACATATGCACTACAGAGAGCTTAAGAGCATTGATGGATGTTGAGGTGACAGAAACGACCTGTTTTACCCTAATATAAATGTCTGATTATTTCTCTATTTAATTATGACTTTTCTAATGACTTTTCAAAGGGTATTTTATTATTTAACCCAATAAATAAAATCTTATTAGTGTATTTGAATTGATTTAAAAAGGAGATGCATTTACTAACAAATTCTATCACTACTATTTTGAGCTTAGTTTTAAAAGATCAAAACTCTAATAAGAACCACATAGTGTGAGAGAGAAATTTTGTAAGTTTTATTGTTAGTCTTATTTAAGCAGTTGTAGGAATTATTTGATAAATTTGTGAAAATCAAGAAAAAAAATCAAGTTGCAGCAACTTCAATGGACCAAGAAATTAAATATATGGATTACTATAGAAGATGCAATTGAACTTGGTTAGTCTTAGAAATGAAAAAACACAGTTCCCACTTTTGAAATACAACTATGTTCTGTAGCAGAGGCAAAAAAAAAAAGATTCTATTCTAGTTCATGATTTGAAATTTTATAGATGCTGACTGATTTTTATCATATTCAAGCTAATACTCAAAAGTTAGTTTATGGGCCCGGCATGGTAGCTTAGTGGCTAAAGTCTTCACCTCACTTGCGCCAGGATCTTATATGGGTTCCGGTTTTAATTGCAGCAGTTCCACTTCCCATCCACCCCCCTGCTGTGGCCTGGGAAAGCAGTTGAGGACGGCCCAAAACCTGTGGGACCCTGAAATATGTGAGAGACCCAGAAGAGGCTCCTGGCTCCTGGCTTCAAATTAACTCAACTCCAGCTGTTGTGGTCACTTGGGGAGTGAATCAAAGGATGAAAGATCTTCCTCTCAGTCTCTCTTCTCTCTGTATATCTGATTTTGTAATATAAATAAATAAATTCAAGTTACTGCTGCAGGTTTCATGGAATTTCCCAGAAACATTTATAGGCATAGAAGGATCTGGAGTTAGAACATAATTACATGCTAAATTTTTATATCTTTCCAGCTGCATTCCAATTCTGACAAAGGTGATGGGTCGGTCAAGTACATCCTTACTGGAGAAGGTGCTGGGACCATTTTCATTATTGATGATACCACGGGTGACATCCACTCCACAAAAAGTTTGGACAGAGAGCAGAAGACACACTACGTGCTTCACGCGCAAGCTATTGACAGAAGGACAAACAAACCCCTGGAGCCTGAATCTGAGTTCATTATCAAAGTGCAAGACATCAATGACAACGCTCCCAAGTTCACAGACGGCCCGTACATTGTCACTGTGCCTGAGATGTCAGAGATGGGTAAGGAAAGCTCATTTTTACTCTTGGGGAGTTGACATATCCTTTAAGGGACTTTTTTTGTCCTTTTTTCATGATTGAATCTGGAGATGTTTCCAAGTATCTTAGTGATTTCCTATTGCAAAAAAAATTCTGAGTATTGAATCTAACAGTTTTATTCATTGCAATTAATTCTAGGACAAGTAAGTGTTAGTATGATTTAATCTCAAGGGAAAAATAGAACGTGGGGAAATACCTGCAGATCTTGCAATGTGTATAGTTCTTCAATAATTAAAGTTACACATATTGTAAAGTGCATGTCAACACATTGAATGCGACATGTTGCATTGAAAAAAAAAAGATTCAAAATGTCTGAAATCTTTACCCACATGTCTTTAAGCTTGCATTTTAGTCTAAATTATTACAGCATTTGGAACAAATAATTTCCATATTAATCAATAAAAATTTATAAATCTTTCTAATTTTCTAGATACCTTGCTTATTTTGAAACTTAAAATTATTCTGTGAATCATTTTGAAAACCATATTTAAATATACAAACTAACATAAACAGTTTTTAAAATTCATTTGAAATTGACCAAGAAGAAATTAACTTCTGGTTCACCTGAATTCAAAGATGATTATCAATCTAAAAGAAAAAAAAATGAGCCAGTTTGTGATTCACAGATCAGATGATCTGTGGCTTTCTACCACTCTGAGATTTTTGTGGTCTAGCTGCTTTATTGTAAAAGAAAACTTATATTTTGTTTATTGTAAATACAAAGAGATTTAGAGAAGCAGAGAGAGAGGAGGGAAGAGAGAATGTATGAGTATCTGATTTGCTAGTTTACTACCAAAGACCTGCGGCAGCCCCGGCCACATGCACCCAAAGCTGGAAGATGGCACTTCATCCATGTCCCCATGCGGGTGTCTGGGACTCTGCTCCTGCAGTCTTTACCTGTTTTGTGTCAGGATACGAATCAGGAGAGAACTAACAGAGCAGAGCTGAAGGAGACAGCCAGCCACTCTGCCGTGGGATGGATTGCGTCAGGCAAGAACCTGCCGGCATAGCCAGACACTCACACTTCATGTAGTTGTCACCGTATAGATGCATTTCTTAATATAATTAAAACAATGTTTGATTTTCATATGTTTGAGTTCATTAGACATTCTTTCTCACTAAGAATTTTGTGTATGAAATTTTGCTGCTTTTATATTAATATTATTTTATATTAAAGTTACTGTAAAGGCAAAAGCCATGATACAGTAGGTGTAGCCATTGCTTGCAAGACTGGAATCCTTTGTGGATGCCAGATAGAAACCTGGGTACTTGACTTCTGATCCAATTCCCTGCTAATGTTCCTCAGACAGTAGCTGATTTGGGCCAAATGTTTGTGTCCCTGCACCCACATGTGAGACCTACTTGGAGGTTCAGCTTCCTGGTTTTGGTGTGTCCCATCCTTAAGTCATTGCAGCCACTTGGAGAGTAAACCAGCAGATAGATGTCTCTTTCTCTGAAATGCTGTTTTTCAGAAAAACAAAATCTTTAAAAAGTTACTGTAAGCCACAATCAAATCCTTCTGTGAATTCGAATGTATACATAGAGTGTTGTAACTTCTTTCTCTTCCGACTCCCGAACGCCAGGCCTTTCTAGTTCTCCTGAACCAGGCAGCTGCTCCTGGGAAAGCTTTTGGGGAAGCAGTTAAGCAAGAGAGATTTCTCAGCTAGTCTCAGGGGGAGAATGCAGCTGCAAAAGGGCTCCCTTCGGACTACAGAGATCAGGCTCCAAGGGCCTGCGAGTAGCGCTCCATATACCCAGGCTTATTGGTCTCTTAGGAGAGTGGTGAAAGAATTAAAGAGCTCAGTACTGCAAATCCTGGTGGGCCCATGGAGCACAGGGAGGATCACGGTACGCGCACTGGGCAAGGTGTCGGATGGAGAAAAACAAGCACAGCAGCCATCATGGAGAAGGACAGTGACTGACTGTGAAGTAGTCATAACAAAATGCCTCTTTCAGGACAACGCAGATTTATCTATATCAATCCCCCCTTTTTTATAACAAATAAACCAATAATTATCATATCAGTATATGGATTGAAGGTGTGGATAGTCAGTGAGCTGACCAAAATGATTTTCCTTCTATTCAGAACATAACAGATGGGTAAAAATTATTGAAATCATAGAGCAAAACTGAGAAATATGGACTGTGGAGAAAGATAAGAAACTGAGCGCGAATGCTGAAAGATATTGCCAGTGAGTCCTATCTAATCCCTGTGAGCAGCAGTGAGCAGGCAGGAAAAGCAATGGTGTTTTTCTTTTGAGGTCAATACACTGAATTTACCAATTTTTAGTCTCTGAATTCATGAAATGGCTACCGGAATCCCAATTAAAATTATGCTAATCCTGACAAAATTTAGAAAGCCTGAATATAAAAAGATACCTTGACAAATTTTTGCAGTTCTGAAAAGAAATAATAAAAAGCAAATCCTACAAAGTAAAGTCTGAAACTTCAGATCATTTGCTCAGTCAGTGTGGATCCATTTTCTGTGTAAAAGAAATATTGGAAGAACAATCTAGAAAGTATATCATCCACTTACCTAACAGCACAAAGCTTGAGAAAACAATTTAAATTAATCAGGTTAAAGATCCAAAGTAGTGGAAAATTATGTGAAGAAATGAGTTAGCAACAATGAGTCCAGAAACAGGTATGTGTAAATGAAGATCTATCCATAAATGGGTATTTTTAAATTTCTAATAATGTTCAATATGCATCTTATGTGTGAATTGTGACATGTAAGAGAACTTCCAAAGTAAGGGCTGTAGTTTGAGGACTTAGGGAACAAATTCAAACTTCCATCAGCTTCCTAATTGAGGCCTGGGACAGGACTTGGAGGATGGAGGACTAGCTGGTACTCTGAGCTTCTCTTGCTGAGCTAACCATGGTTGGAGGAAAAAAAAATAATATTAGAAAATAATGGAGATAAGGAAAATCATGATCTCTCTGAGGTACTATTTTATCAGATAAGATTCTACTAAAAGTATAAATTTATGGAAATCTATAGAAGGGCATGTTGGAAAATTTAGTGCTATTTGTGGTTGAATTTAAGTGTGTGTGTTTATCCTCATTATTTTGAGAAGAGAAATACTGAAAAGCCATCCTAATAACGTATCATATACCTTGTGATATGAGTGTATAAGAGATGTGTCAAAGGGGGAAACGAATTTTATATTGTATCTTTGGAAAGTAATAGTTTCATTAACTCTAATATTAGAAATGTATTACTATTAATAATGCAAGTTAAAAATTAGCAGCCTGTAGTAGGGAAGACAAATATTACATGCTGATTTTAAAAACATTTCTAATATACAGACAGCAGCTTCATCTAAGCATTTTGGTGATTTTGAATTTGTCATGGTCGAGTTGGATAGTTGGGATGAAAGCTATATGCCTCATGCTGTTGAAAATATACACTATGTTGCTTTTTATAGAAAAAACTGGCCAGTTCTTCACTGCAAGGTATTTCAGGGTATGATGTCCAAGGTTGGGGAAATTTATAGGAGTTCTGTAATCCTGAGAGTGAGAAAATCTGCTGATGTAGGGCAATTAGTGTTCTGCCAGCTCTGTGGGACTATCTGCATCTAACACCTGTGTGATAGGCACATAGCATAGGACGTGCCCCTTTGCCACATGCACTGTTAGCTACTTAACCAGCATTCAACTTTCCCTCTGATATTATGAAGAGATTTCATTTCTGCCTAGGGCATTCCTCACCGACCTCAGCTGGCTTTATCTAGGATGGGATGTACCAAAATCTGAAACTGTGGGATGTGGGAAGTCATCCCAGATTGTTATTTCTGAAAACACCACAGCTACAACATTTATCTTAGCCATGGCCATTTTCTTTATTTGCTGCTTGCAAGGCGCAGGTAGTATGAAGCAACCATTTATTCAGAGTCTTAAAAAAAAAATCCATCTGGCAAGGCAGAGTATACAGCAGAGACAATGTTGCAAAGCCATGATGGACAAGGTGCAGGCAGGTTTGAGTCCCCATGCAAAGGGCAGGTAATGTGAACATACAGGTAATTGGATAAGGTAGTGCACACAGGACCAGATGAATTCAAATCCTGAGCGGAGTTGAGGTGGGAAAGCAGCTGTGCCATGTTCCAAGGCATGAGGTATCTTTCACCAGCTGAAGAACAAAGTAAATAGTAAGAAAATACACAATAGAAGTGTTATCACTGAAGGGTTTGATGTTTCCAATTACCAAGGGGAAACAGCATGAATTTAAGTAAGCAAAGATTAAAACATGTAGATGTCAAATACTCGGAAAAGTCATGACAAAGGTGCAATGTTTTCTTTACATTTTTTAAGCTTTATCTTTTATGTGAAAGTCAGAGAGAGGGGGAGAAGGAGAGAGATAAAGAGAACTTCCATCACTGATCCATTTTGCACATGGGAAATATCTGGAAGAAACACAGGCACCCATTGAGTAAAGAGATTACCTTAACTGGCGGATTCTTGCTTTATCAGACATGATCAAATGTATTTTTTCTATGAAGATCTATGCAAACATGTTTTAATCAATTTATAAATCAAATTATATAACAGCAAAATGTATTTCTTTTAACCAGAAGAGTCCTTAATTTATATTTACACTGATTTCTAATGCTAAAGACTAGAAACACTGCGAGAAGATAACAGAATTTTGCTCACCCTGCCTGATGAGATTATTATTTCTGGCTGTAAATTCATTAAGTGAGCTTTGAATCATCAATCATTTAAAAAGTAAACACATAAATGAAAGTGTCTCTTTTTGCCCACCAAAACCTTTTTGGAGAGAATGAAGGCATTTTTATGTAATAATTGCTAGGAGTGGCTGCTCATAAGATGATAAGTCCACTACCTTGAGTGGACTGCAGTTACGCAAATTTTGAATAAGATGTGTGATAGGCTCATATTGGAACCCTAAAGCTGGATAGAGGGTCCCTTGTGTGGGTTAGCCAAGTTATCTTTAATCAAATTAC